GTTGACATGTCCGGGACATTGGAGACCGAGTGGGTTATCCTCGTGAGTCTCTTGAGCAAAGTCTCAGGTTTCCCGTAAGGAAACACAGCAGCTGTTGATCTCTGAGTTATGGTTGGATATCGTTACAATCAGATGAAGCGCCTCAATCTCCTGTTCTGCTGGATTAGACAATGGTTGTCACTCGTGCACTCGAGCCTCCAACATGGCCCACGGTGAATCACCATTTCTGAGGGGCATTTTTGGATATTCCAGCTGGCCAGGCGTATGTCAGCATGAGAGCACTGTCAATATCATCGCCGGTACTGGCTCGCTGTCCTCTGCTGCCGCGAACCCAGAAACAAGACTGAATCCTTAAAGCTTAAACCATTCAGGTACCTCTTTTTGTTAAAACTTATTCAGGGAACTGTGTTCAAAACCCTCTTAGAGTCTGAGTATTTCAGCTTATAAACATCTGGGTTCCTGCTAAGAGGGAGTGAGTCAGCCTTTGTCTGTGTTTGGAGGGCTGGTCCCCCCCCCTCTCTTTTGCTTTGACAGTGATCTTACTGTCTCCTCTGTGACCCCCACCTCCCCCGCCTCTCTGTCTCCTCAGCTGACCCCAGTCAGCGAGACGGGTCGATCTGTCGCGGAAGACCGGGAGCACAGACGCTGCTCCCTCTCATCCCGTCTGAGTCGGCTCTGAATGGGCCCTTTGAGAAATCTCCTCCTCTCTGGCACTCCAGTCTGAGCGAGGCACTCTCTTGTAGTGCAGTGTTAAGATGCTCATTTTATATCTGGTTTATGGGATTTTTTTTTTTTAGTTAGTTAGAGGATTATCCATTTGTTGTAACTTCAAGGGGCTGTACTTGTGAAAATGACCAGTGTGAGTAAACATTGGCTTGGCTCGCACCCGTGTCGGTGGCGGTTTGTGCTGTGTCGAAGGTGACTGGTCAGCGCTTGTTCTCCAGCTGCTGTGCAGAGAGGCACCTTCACGGCCTGCTTGCTCCTGCCACGTTCGAATGGGAGCTTGACGCTCTCCCGTCGCCCTCAACCTTTGCTGTAAGTCAACCGGTCTTGGAGATAGGCGGGGAGACCAGAACAGCACTTGCTGCAGAGTGACGGATCTGTGTTTGTCAGTGATGTGGTCACAAGTGCCCCCTGTGAGAGTCCTGATAGGCCAAGGCAGCCCTGCAGAGAGCTGGCAAAGGACCAATCATTTGTCTGCTTTAATCAAGGAAAGTAACTAATGAAAGCAATCCACTATAGGTTTGTATAATATTAGCTGCGGCTACCTAGTCTGTCGTGACGTATCAAGTAGAGAAGCTTTTCCATTTTGGCTCGTTGTTTGACCCGTTCATCTCAACTATAGAGCTTGTTACTTCAGGTAATCTTATCTGTGGTGACGTCTGAGCTCGGCAGATGTGTATTGTGTCCCTAGCTGCATGTGTCCCCTTCAGAGCCGTTTCATTCTTAGTCCTATGAGGAGATGCCCTGATCTTTAGAATCAGTTTGATGGAGTTGCTGTTTGGTGCCAGTTTGGGACAGTATCTCAGCTGAGCTTCTCCCTGACCTGCGGGGGGATGGGGCGCCGTATAATTTGCAACCCCCACCCCCCGGATGGAGCACAGTTTCCAAATGACACCTGAGACAGATTTCCGTCCAAATAGTTACATCCTTAAAGTATTTAAGAGCTGTGGAGGAGGGTGAGCCAACCCCCCCCCCCCGCCCCCCCCCCCACCACCATGTGGATGTAGGCATCAAGCTTGGGAAACATCTGTGGGCCACACATAGAGGCAGCGTTCTGCTGGAGGCGGCTGCTTCCAGTCCTTTTGATTAACCAGCCATCTTGCACCATCCTCTCTCTCTCCCAGTGCAGGAGGGGTTTATTCACACTCAATTCTTCACTTAATCTTTTTTGTTGTTGTTGTTGTTGTTGTTGTTTGAATGTCTCTTCTCTAAGCAAACAACAGTGACACCACCCCGAGGCGTCTGCCCAAAACCATGGGGAGGCGCTGTTTCAAATGTGGGCCTGGCCCAGCAACTTGGGGCGCCAGGGACCGCTGTCCATTCTTTAGTAAGGAGCGAGTTAACTGCATAACCCAGATATGCCGCTGATAAACGAGGGCTTTCCCAAAAATAGATGCTGGTTATGTTAGGACGAGGGTGACACTGGGGCTGCAGAGGAACATCTGAAGAAAGGTGGTGCTCATCATGCTTTCCAGATGTTTACATTCTTCTGGGAAAGTGCTGCTGTCTCTGTCCCCGCCAGCTTTCCCCATGGCTGCTAAAGCATGTGTTTGACAGAGCTGGTGAAGTGCTCTCACGCAGGGGTGAGAAGTTTCGTTTCATGTTCGTTTGTACTGGAGGAGAGGTTAAGTCGTCATTTTGCCTGGCAGCAGACCACGATTCTTTGCTCTCACGCTCCTTCACTGGAACGGGAAGCCTTTTTTGGACATGTGTTTTCATCACATCAAGAGCAATACCTCATTTTAAGCCTGAATAGTGATTTCAGGAGTCAGGATGTGGCTGTTTGTCTGGTGTTTCAGTCCTTTCATCAGAAATTCTCCTTGGGATGGACATGGCTTGTGGCTGGAAACTTACAGCTGTCTTGTTCTGTAATCACCCTGTTTATAAAGGTTATTGTGTTATGTCTCTGTCTGGAATGGTTGCTCCAATTTGTGGTCTTCCTTTCTGGAAGAGTTAACCCTTCATGTGGTCTTCCTGTCTGGAAAGGTCACTCCAGTGTGCAGTTTTCCTGTCTGGAAGGGTTAGGGATAGGGTTTATGAGTGATTTTCTACCTATGATTCACCTATGATTGGAAGACCAGCTGTGCAAGAATGGCTTGGAGTCTCGATGCAGGCCGTCTAAGCTGCCCGAAGATTCAGTAAGTGATGATATTAAAGTGAAATTGCCACTGGAGATTTTGTGGAGACCATCAGTAGTACCTGGAGGTTACTTGATGAACTGGTCATGTCGCCTGCATGATTAAAGACCATGGACATTGCAGATGGAGCTGAATACCCTCTCAGTGTTTATGTGGTAGTGAGGCCTCTGAGTTTTTTAATTGGCCTGTGCCTCTTCGAAGCCGCCTCCCCTTTCTCTTGGCCAGGTGTCTGAAGTACATGAGCCACTCTGAGCTGCAGCATGTTCAGGCGGGATGATATGCATCAGTCCCCCTCATGTCTGTACCCTTCAGGAACCTTAAGAACAGGCGGACTATTGTTCTGGAGAGCTGGCTGGCCTTTCACCTCCTTCACACTTCCCTCATACCTCCTGTGACAGAACGTTTCGCTCAAATACAGGGTCTGGTAGGCTGGAGGTCAGTTGGCATCATATTCTAGAGCGGCTCTTCCCCAACACATCATCTCTGGTGTGTCGGTTTAACACAATGAGGTGTTACTTGTTTGTTGTGGCCGTTAACATGTGATGGTCCAAATTCTTGTCTTGTTTCTCAAGCTAGTTAGATACACTTATATATATAAACTGAAGTTTTCCTAATCTTGTAAGACACATTCCTTCATGTTGGGGAAAAAAATGACAGGCGGGTTTATCAGTGTTCTCTGCTGCCCCCTAATGGTGGCAAGTGGCTAATGAGCTTCTCTGTGTCTGTTGCAGCTGAACTGCAGTTTGTTCAGATCATCCTCATCATGGTGGTAATGGCTGTCATGGTGGTGCTGATCATCTGTTTGCTGAACCACTACAAGTTCTCCGGCTGCTCCGGCGTGACGCGGCAGAGCCAGGGCAGCAGGCAGGAGGAGATGCTACAGCAGGTGGGTCTGGGGTGTATGTCAGGCCAGACCAGTCTGGGACAGATAGCATGCGGCCCCTTCCTCACTCTTCTGTCTCCTTCATCTCAGGGACCATCTGCATGGCCACAGGATAGCACAGCACCAACACAAGGAGCTTCTGAGGTGAGTCTGGTTATAACCTTTCAGGCAAACAGTCCATTCCTGACTCCCCTTACGTGCAGCTCCACCCCCGATCCCTGCCAACCACAGGCTCCGCCCCTGATCCCTGCCAACCACAGGCTCCGCCCCTGATCCCTGCCAACCTCAGGCTCCACCCCTCCAATCCTGGTCGATGTCAGACCCCGCCATCGCATTCTGCTAAATGCACTTTTTCCTGTCTCTGCAGGCAGCTTACGCACAGCGTGAGAGGCTCACGGCTCCCGCCTTCATGCAGCGGGACCGGTTCTGCCGCTTCCAGCCCACCTACCCCCCCCAGCAGCACCAGATCGACCTGCCGCCCACCATCTGCCTGTCGGATGGGGAGGAGCCCCCTCCCTACCAGGGCCCCTGTACGCTGCAGCTGCGGGACCCTGACCAGCAGATGGAGCTCAGCAGGGAATCGGTGCGTGCCCCACCCAACCGCACCGTCTTCGACAGCGACCTGATCGCCGTGCTCCCGCCCAGCAGCAACTCAGGCATCAGCGCCTCCCGCTCTGCCAGCCACGGGCACATGGAGGGGCCCCCGCCCACATACAGTGAGGTCATGTGCAAACATCCAGGCTCTTCTTTTTTTCCTCACCAGCACGGCGATACCCCTCCCATCCAGCAGGGGGCAGCTGCTCAAACACTCCAGCACAGCAGCAGTGAAAGCACAACAGTACCCATTAAGACCAGGGACAGTCAGAGGGACAAACAGGTGTGAGGATAGGGGTGGGGCTGTGTTTTCTGCCCTGCCCCAAACACTGAAGGGGTGTGGTGTTCTGTGTTAGGCTCCATCACCCAGCCGAACATCCACCCTCATTGTAACAGCAATGAAAGATATTTGATATTTGACCCAAAGCAACCTGGATAACGGTTAGCAGAGCTGCCTAGTTTGTTTTCCATGTGGACTGTGCTTCTTGAGGGATTTTCATTAATTAAAAAAAAACATGTATTTTATGAGGATTTGTGCACAAAAAAACAATCAAAATTAACATCTTTGTGCCAAGAACTGTGTGGGACTTGGGGGATTTTACTTGACAGAAGTCTGGTCGTTTGCACTACTCGCCGTTCAAAGGGATGGAGGGAGATGTCATTTTATTTGTGTGTTTTACTCCTTGGCTCAAGGAGAGCTTCAGCCAGCCGTTCCTCCCCGTCAGAATGATGCCGGAATATTCTATGTACATTTTTACCTTTTATTGCACTTAAAGGCATGTAAAAATGTCTCCGTGAGGTGTAGCGTGGACCTCGGGCCTCCGAATGGACGTGTCTCCCCAGGACGTGGAGCTGGTGAGCGTACGAGTCACACTCCTCCTCGGTGCTCTGCTCCCTTGCCCTCCCCCACTGCCTGCTTTCAGCTTCTTATCTACGTGTACCTTTGCAGATCCATTCGTGAACGAGGGTAGGTATGGTCATCTGGTTTTCTGAAGCTGAGCGACGTGAGGATCTCCTGTGTGTCGTTGAAGGGCTGCCCGTGTAGAGCTCGACCTTGAGAAGCCGCCAGCACGTTCCTCCCTGTCCCTCTACTATCCAAACATCCCCGTTTCCATCCAGATGGTCCATTCCACACAGTCAAAGTGCTTATAGACCCAATGAAAGGAAGCCCAGGCCCTTTGGTTTGGTACTCAGGACATAGCTGGTGGGGGGCTTTTCTTTGGAGATCTTCCAGAGCGGTGAGGAGGGAAGGGGGAGCTCCCCATGTCCCTGGGGCGTCCTCCCCACTGCAGTGAAAGCTTTACCTTCTTAGAAGGACTGAGGAGTGTCTTGGGTTGGTTGGGATCAGAGAATTTGCATATCTTATTGCTTGCCATTAATTTCTGCCGTATATATAATGTTTTTTTTTTTAATTTTGAGATGTGGCTCATGACTTTATTGAAATGATGCAAATACTGGACAGGCTACCAAAGTAACGATGTAGGTCAGGGGGAGACCTCTGGGTGGGGTGCTGGGGGTCGAACCCCCCCCCCAGCTTAGTTGCTCCAGAGAGTAATGCTAACATGCACCTATGCACCATCGCTAACAGATCAGCCAACTGACCTGCTTCATTCACTGATAAAACATGTCACTGCAGTCTGACCCCCCCCCCCCCCCGCATCGTCTAAACTCCACCCACTGGGGTTTGTGCATCGGGGCAACAAATGTCATGGTAACTTCCTGTCGATTGTGCTGTACGCCGGGAAAAAAAGCACTTAACCAGTTTAATAAGGTAATTATTGTGATTAATATAATAATGGAATTAGATCCGGTTCTGGGCTCCATTCCCAGCTTCGTTAGAGGTGGGCGGGGGTGGGAATCTCCTCCAGAAGTGACTCGATTATGCCTCCATCTGTGGACAATCATGGCAAATCTATGTTTATAAATGCAGCTTTGGTCGCCATGTTGGCTTGGGAACAGTGTGGGTGGCAGAGAGGGTTATGTTCTGTAAAGGCCGTGGGGGAGGAGACAGGGGAAAACGTTTGGGGGGGGGGGGGGCGGTAAGGTTAGTGTGTGCACCCCCAATATTTAACTCTGCTTAATTTGTCTCCCCCTAATACACAGATATTTACATTTGAATTATGAAACTGCCCCTCAAATATCTAATTCTCTCGTCACATTTGGGTGGAGGCTCTTGCCGTCTCTTGTGATGTCCCCTCTAAACTCCACCCCCCCCTCGGCCGATGGTGCATGTGTATGTGACACAAACACAGCGCCCACATGCTGGACCCCCCCCCCGGTGCATCAGAGGATTAAGTGTTTCCACAGTGTAGATGTATGTACCCCCCAGTCATCTGCCACACGCTTGTTTATAAGGTGCTGAATATAAGAATTTGATGCACATACCCTACCCAATGGGTAGATCCTCCAGAAAACATTGTGAATAATGTAATATACTGTACAGATATTAAAATGAACTGGGCAGGTGTGTTTTTGTAAACAGAACAGTGAGACGCTTTAATACTGGTTATAGAACAAATACAGTGAACTGCCTGTTTTATTTTCCTATGAAAAATATAAGTAATGTATGGATGAAACAGGATGCCATCATCTCGGCCCCAAATAAGACGTCACAACTCACCTTTCCCCCCGCAACAGATAGTAGGTCACCGCCACCTCCACAGTCACCCTGGTACCATGAAAGGAAGAGATACGTGGAACCATGCATCTCAGGATCTGTCGCGTTCCCCGGACATGCGCTCGCTCCACACCAGTGGCAGGAACCTCCACTGGATCGAGCCTGGATCAGCAGAAAGCATGACCCCCCCAGGAAGTCCACGAAAGACATGCAGAACTAATAATCAGCTGCTGGATATTTGTTTGCTTTATTTAAAATAATAATGCACATGAAATGTGTGTAATTTTTGCCTCTTAACATTGGAGCCATATGATGTCATAGGTCTGTCACAGGAAGGATGGCAGGTGTTTAGTCGCGGTTGCCGAAAGCTGTAATGGTTGGACATACAGACTTTATGCTTGTACTTGCGCCGCAGTTTCACCACAGCATCATTAAAACCCTTTAAAAACAAAACACCCTGGCCGCTGTCAATGCTTCTCTGCTTAACGTTGTAGGTGCCTCTCAGCTTCCGGAGTTAAACCCCCACTGAGATCAGCCCCCTGTTTATAGTCCTCGTGTTCCTTTCAGGACTCCCTGCCACAATTGCTTGTTAAAGGGTCTGAACCCAGTTCTACTCTGATTTAATCTGATTCTTGAGGGTTTCCTGAGCACAGCAACGCGCCAGCAGGGGGCTGAACGCTTTGGGGAAGACAGCCAAGCCCTCCATTTTGACAGTCAAACCACAGAATACCTTAAATTCCAACATCCACCCATCCATCCATCCATCTATCTTCTCTACTCGCTTGTCCTGTGCAGGGTTGTGAGGATCCAGAGCTATTCCTGAAGCTACAGGCACAAGGCAAGGACCAACCCATCACAGGGCACATATACAAAACACTAAGGCGTTCATAGCATATTTAGTCTGACATCCATCCATCCATTTTATGTAACAAATTGTCCTATTCAGGGTCACGGTGGTTCGGGAGCCTATGGGCACGAGGCAAGGAACAACCCATCACAGGGCACATATACAAAACACGGAGTTCACAGCATATTTAGACTTTTAACCAAAAAACTTGGGCTGGATGACTTAGCCAGTTGCAGAGTAGATTTAATTGAACCTTCATTCACGGTCAGCATATTAAGCATGCGTGTGCAAATGGACATGCCTGACACATATACTGCCTATCATGCAGGACAGTCACTGTTAAAGTCACTCCAGAATGCCAGCCTCAGCCACCAACAGGAGGGAGGTGCTGATCACTCTGCGAGAACACTGCTCTTACGGTAATGACATCACTTCACCGGGACAAGAGGTACTTGGTAGATTTCAAAGCACTCTAGTGCGACTCAAGTAAAAACAAAGACACCCTGGTATCCACTCCATGACGAACATGTTATCAGCGATGGATAGAAAATGACAACAATGTACACAGAACATTTAAAAGATGGACACAGAGAAATATGACTATTACCACGCAGCACAGTCTGACCCATGATCCCACCGATCTTTGAATTGATGTTCACATTTTTTTCCCCTTCTAATAACGCTGAGACCTATTATGTTTCTTTTACAATCACAGATGCTAAGTGCAGCTTTAATTGAGCTGCTAGGACTGAGATGTGAGCACAAGCAGGACACTAGGGTCACTGCCCCCCCCCCCGCTGGAGACTCCTGTAGGGTGTAGTTACAGTTTAAAGTTTAGGGTCCCTGATCTTTCTTTCGGAAAGACACCTTGTCTTTGGTCTGCTGCAGCTTCTCTGAGAACTTGTCCTTCGTCTCCTCCATCCTCCCCGACAACCGATCCTTAGTCTCCTCCATTTTCCCGGAAATCCTCCCCTTGGTTTCTTCCATTTTCTCCGAAAATCGCTCCCGGGTCTCCTCCATCTTGTCCTGTATGTACTCCTTGACTGGGGGCGGGGTTGACATGTAGCCGTGCTTGCGGAGGTATTTCACAGAGAGGGAGGTCCCAGCCAGCGTGACGGTGTACCTGGCTGGAGTGGCGATCTCCAGGAGAATCAGGTGACATGTCAGTGACTGTCCACTCACACACGTCATTGGAGACATAAACCCTCACTCAGAAGCTGGGGGCTGCTTGCGGACAGCCCCCGCATGCCGGGGCCTCACCTTGTACATGGCATAGGCGGTAATTGCGTATCCACTCTGAGATTTTTCCATGAGGTCAACGAGTTTGTCTGGGAGGCCGATGTACTCGAGAAACGGGACCACATTCACACCCCTGCGGATAAAGACACGTTTTATCCCTAGCGACATACATTTTTGAGAGGAAGCAGGGTCATACGGTCCCTAGAGCAACTGAGGGCTGAGGATGCTGTCAGGGGCCTAACGAGGAAATCACTCTAGGGATGTGAACCGGCGACTTGCTGCCCAGAGGCACAGCACCCGAACCTGCTGAGCCACACACACGCCCACGTACTAACTTTGTATTACAAACCACACAGCGTCCTGTGTGACACTAACGTCACGATACATTAAGACGGTTTATTTTCTACGAGACGTCCTGCCTCCAGAACATAAAAACATTCCTATTTAGCAACACACCCCTGTCGTGCTTCTTTTCTTAAGGAACGACAGTAAGACCACAACCGGAAAGCCCCACCTTTCCCATTAACCCTAATGTAAACCTCTAATGCTAACCCTGACCTCTAACGCTAACTTCAAACGCGAACACTAAACTCTAATGCTAATGGTAACTTCTAATGCCAACTCTAACCCAAACCTCCAATGCCAATGCTAGCCGTAATGCTAACTCTAAGTCCTCCTCACCACCAGGGGCATCGTTAGGCCTCCTCACCACCAGGGGCCACCAGCCCTCCCCCCAAAATAAATGCACACTAATTGGTTTAAATAATGTGTGCCATTTTCATCAGACTCCCCCTTAATAAAGGCTCAGCCCACCCCCTCCCCCACCCCCATAAATCTCTAGTGACACTCCTGCTCACCGCCAGGGTTCACTCACTTCATGGCTGTGTAGTAAAAAGCCCCAAACCACAGAGATGACGTCACCAGATGCACAGGGATCATCACTTTCCCATACTGCTTCAGCATTTTCTTGAAGCGCTGGACCAGCCCGATGGACTTGTCCTGGAGGGGATCGGAGTCGCCAGGCTGCTCTGGGTTGTTCATCCTCTCCTTCTGTGTTGGTGACGCTGCTCTAGCTACCTCTGATGTGCTCACGTAGCACAGGCTGGGACCCCTTTTCCCAGTCCAGGGCCTGGGGCCCACCGGGCTGTGGGACAGGCCCTGGACTGTCGGTTGCAGAGCGACCAGTCGCAGCCAAGCTCTGTGGCAAACGAGCTGCTGCATTTTCCTTTTGACACTCGCACCCAAGAGCCTGCGGGCACCATTAAGATGTTACGGTAGAAACCAGTGTCATCAATTAAAAAAGGATTACAGTAGCGTTATACCATACAGGATACTCAGGCGCGGCAGCTATAACACACGGACACAAACAGTCTTGAATCCAGATTCAAAAAGTGCCAACAACAGAATCGACAAACGTTAATTTATAATGTAATCCGCGTCATGACGGTTTAAAAGCACAACACTGTGTGAGCACCCACCTTCAGCAAGGAATGCTCCTCAGCATCAATACTGCGGCCTTGACTTAGCGATCTGGACAGGCAGAGAATAAAAAGGGTGTGCATGAAACGGTACCCAGCTTTTACCCCAGCACATGTAAAGTGATCGCGGACGGCGCCGTGTTGGTATTACTGCGACTACAGCATTGGCGCCAGAGGGTCAGGAGCAGCAATTCGCTCGTAAAAAAATGCCAAAAGAAGCCCCCTTTATGATCCTCATTATACCATTTATTAAATTCAACTTTATATAAAAATAACCCCTTTATATGCCTTATTTATGACCTGGGTACTCATCCTACAGAATCTCAACCTAGTTTCCCACAAATCTTTCTCACAAGTATCTTTCTAACAGAATAAGTGTAGATGTTTGGTGTGTACTTACGTGAATGAGATTTAGCATGGTATAAAGACGCTTAAACTTTTCATGAAAGACCATCCATGCCCCCTCTGTCATTCAGAAAATAGCTTTCGGGAAACGGCAAGTTATGCAGTGCAATTTGGGAAATGTAGTCTTTACGCCTTGAGAAATCACGCAGATAGGAGCGTTTGAACTTCATTGACCATAGTTCATATGGGCATTGGCCAAAACGGAAATAGGAACGGAAGCAGAAAGCTTATTCTTCAGCGTGATGGCGGAAAACTCAAGTGAGTGTGAACCGGGGGTAGCGTTTTTGTACACTTTATTATGTCCTCGACGACTTCTACTTACTTTTTAATGCTGTGACAGTTATTTATTTTTTTCTCTTAGTAATAACCGGTCTATGTCGGGTAAAATGGCAGTTATTAGGTGACTGTGTCAGGCATGTCGCGTCCCGCTAGCAAGGCTTGTTTATAACAATCAGTAGCTCAAGCATTGATGTTGACGCTCTTGAGGTATCGGCGTTTTGCTGTAACATTGCGTGAAAATAATTTTTTAAATCATACTAGTTTATCTTAACCTGATCTGTCCACTATAGTTTTTTGGTATGTGTTGATTCTTTTCAGCCATGTGCAAGTCGCACGTAGGTAAAGCTTGCTCCTTTTACCTCGTTTAACGTCTCCACACGCACCGCTCAACTTGCACAGTTTGCTGCTTTTTTGGCGGGGGGGGGGGCGGTTCTTATTTTCTTACTCCCAATATCTTCTATCACGTTGGTTTGAGAGCTTTCTTTAATATCATTTAAGCTGGTGTCCCTTTAAATTGTTTCGTGAAGAAAGTGTAGAGAGAAGTCCAGAAATGATCTTGTAATAGTGCGGAATTGGCTGAGAAAGAGTCTGGTGTATTCAGGGCACCGGGAAGGAGAGAGTGGAGACAGACCCGATGTGCGTGGCAGTGGAGATGGTGGCTTGACCAAGAGGAAGCTGGAGGGGGAAGATTATGACCACAGTGGAGATGAGGCCCCCCCCAGTAAGAAGGTGGTAAGTGAACTGATTTAGTGGTGTGACTTGCCCTCCATGTGCCGGGTAAGCGGTGCTCTCAGTACTCCCATGTCCTGCAGTGCTCTCCGCAGGGCCACGGCATGAAGGTAGCCAGCCATTACAACACCCTCCAGGAGTGCAGTCGCGAAGCCCGCACCAGGAGCAGGATCTTCTACATGCGCAACTTCAACAACTGGCTGAAGAGCGTTCTGATTGGTGAGTGGGCCTCCGGGAATTGAGGGTTAGGGTTACATAAGCGACTGGCTGCGTGTCTCTGATCTTGCTGTTATATTTGGATGGATGAATTTCCATGTTTACTAAATGCTTGAAAGAACGATTCCTTGTCTTTTTACCCAACTGCTGGGTGGGTCTGTTAGATGTGGGATGTAAACCTGACCCATTCCCCGTGCTGCAGGTGAGATCCTGGAAAAGGTAAAGCAGAGCCGAAAGGAGCTTTGCGTTCTGGACCTAGGCTGCGGCAAAGGTGGGGACCTTCTGAAGTGGAGGATGGGGAACATCCACAAGCTGGTGTGTGCAGGTCAGTGGAACCCAGGAGATGCTTCACGTCGCCAGCAGTGGGCAATGCCCTTCAGCTGGGCTCCATTCTGGCATTAGGGTCTGCTCAATCACCATGTTGCTCTTTTTCAGACGTTAGTACCAATGGAGCTTAGAGGGCCAGAGTGGGCGGGGCTGATAACCCTGTCACTCACCACTTTAGACTATTTCCTATTGGTTACAGTGATTCTGTCTGTGTTCGCCCCATATACTCTTTTTCAGACATTGCCAGTGTATCTGTCGAGCAGTGTGAGCAGCGCTACCTGGACATGAGGAAGAAGAACCACCGGCAGGACCGCCTCTTCAGCGCAGAGTTCATCACTGCTGACTGCACCAAGGTGCGCAGTGTGTCCACATGCCCATAAAGGGGCCCCTTAAGTGATCTTCTGGATGCTGGGCGAATGTGGTCCCTCCGGTGGTCACACGTTCTTCCTCTGTGTCCCTTCTCCTGTCCAGGAGCTCCTCTCGACCAAACTGAAGGATCCCAACATGACATTTGATGTCTGCAGCTGTCAGTTCGTCTATCACTACTCGTTTGAGTCTCTGCAGCAGGCTGAGATGATGCTCCGTAACGCCTGCGAGAGGCTGCGTCCGGGCGGCTTCTTCATCGGGACGACACCGGACGCCTTCGAGCTCGTGTGAGAATGCCGCACTGCCCCCCCCCCCCCAACCCTGCCGTAATGCCAGCTTCAGTGTACCAGTCCCCATGTCTCTTCTTCTGTTATGCTTTTGTTTCTCTTTATACCACGGCTGTCCGTTTTTGATTTTATTTATTTATTTAATTTATATTCCTCCTTAATTCCATCCATCCACCCACAGTGGCTGCTATTATACAGGGTGTCCATAAAGTCTCTACAGTTTCAAAAATGTATTACAAAGGCAATTGATGAGATATCGTCATCAGATTTGTTCTATGTACTCAGTGGTTATCAAAGTTTTTAATCACTTTGCAAACAAAGGTGTGGGATGTCACTAATCTAAAGCAGGGGATCACTGATGCCTCCACTCAGAATGGTTTCTTCATATTCGTGTGAAGTTTGACCTTTTTCCTCCCCACTGATGCCTGCCCTAGTTCCCCTTTCGTCTCCTCTGCCCTCATACTGAGAAGGCTGGAATGTGTTGTTGACATTAACCCCCGGTTGAGTGGTCACCCTATTACAGGTTGGGTTCATATTGCTTGAAGAAAGTGCCTTAATCACCCAGGTGTCTGATGCCTTTTCTCAGAAAACGTCTGGAAGCCTCAGAGTCCAATTCCTTCGGCAACAACGTTTATCGCGTGACGTTTCAGAAGAAGGATGTTTACCCGCTGTTTGGCTGCCAGTACGACTTCAGCCTGGAAGGAGTCGTCAACGTGCCCGAGTTCCTCGTCTACTTCCCGCTCTTCCAAGAGTGAGTCTGCGCTCCGCAGCGTCAGCGTCGCTACTGACCAGCAGGTGGCTCCACTGATCTCCGCTGCACCTTTACAGGATGGCAAAAAAGTATAACATGAGGCTCGTTTCTAAGAAGACCTTCTCCGAGTTCTTCAAGGAGAAGATTGCGAACGAGCAGCACCGGACTCTGATGAAGAGGATGCAGGCCTTAGAGGTGCGTTTGCCCGCCCACCTGCCGGCTGATGAACGTTCAGTGCTGATTCGATGTTTTGCAGCCTTTCTTTGTAAAGGGCTTTGCCTTTTTTGTGTATTTGTATTACGTTTTTTTGATGGTATTATAAAAAACCCGACCTCTTTGCTGGGTACGGTGGTCACTGATGCACGCCGTTCCTTTCCTTTGCAGCCATATCCTGCCGACGACAGGAACCGCTTGACCTTCCAGGACGCCAGCGAGTATGAACACGCCAGGAGCAGAGCGGAGAGTCCCGACGCCAGAGTTCCCCTTGTGAGTGCTTGCGCTTCGTTACCACGGAAACAAGCCGTCCACAGAGCTTCTCCACAGCAGACCCTGCCCCACAGCGCCTCCCACTGTTTCTGTTTATAAGTCTCAAATAGCCTTTTCTGGCATGTTCGGCCCGAAATGTTTCTCAGAGTCAGATGATGCGGACACGCCGCAGTGTGAATGAATGGTGAATGAGAGCGGGAAGGTGACAGCCGTCTGTGCAGGACATAAGATTCTTTTTTAGTTCACTCCTCCACATGCTGCATAATGAAAAGCAATAGCACAGTAGATAAAACTAATAAAATATGCATATATATATTACACACACAAACACACACCATGGATAAAATACAAAATATACATATTGATACTAGAATAGAATGTGCAGCATTTCAAAAATAAAATGGCTGGACCAGTAAACATAAATTGTGCATGAGAATATGCATACATTTAATTACCATATGACAGGGCTAATCAGATCAGTCCTCAAGATCCGAGCACTGCTGATTTTTTTTTGGCTTTCCTTCACCTGTGAGCCAGCTGTGAAGCCTCCAGCCAATCAGAATCAGTAATTCTTTAACCTGGAAGAACTGAAAGTACAGCCTGGATCTGCAGTTGAGGTGCAGATTTGAAGAGCCCTGCTATATTGGAAAGAGATGTGCAGCGCAAAGTAGCTGGACCAGTAACATAAGAGCAGTTTCTCTATTCAGCTATCCACAAACCAGTAACTCTCTCTCTCTCTCCCCCCTCCACTTCCCTCTCTTTCCCCCCCAGGGCACTTTAAGCAGATCGGAATGGGAGGCAGCCAGTAAGTCTGTGTGCTCCATATGTGCTGTTCCACAAATTCACACCCAGCTGTCTTCTGGAACTTGGGCATTTTTTGTGACCCTCATGTTTGAGGTCAGCTGGTCAGATGGGGGTCTATGGCTGTGGAGTCATGTGACATTCATCATTAAAGGCCTTTCATCGCAGTTTTGGAATGTGGAATAATTGGAATTGAATGCTGCTGCTGCTTCGTACCGTGTGTGTGTATGTAAATAACCTTTATTTATAGTCCTTCATCTTCCTGCTTCTTCTCGCATAGGTATCTACCTGGTGTTTGTGTTTGAAAAAATGTCCTGACCATCCCAAGAATATACCCGTGGACCCTGGCGGCCAGGTTTGGATAAGCGGCATCTGCGGTGGTGGAGGTTTTTCATCTGTGAGTCGCCCCTTGTGTGGTCTGCGGGAGAGATGAAGAGCCTCATTCCTCAGTAAGCTCCGCTTGTCAGGCTGTAGACGAGGACGCAAACATGCCTCCCTCACAGATCTGTGTGTAATATTGTTAAATGGATTTAGAGATCAGGTGATGACTTTTCTGACCTCGTGTGATGTCTGGCTCTTGTGTTGTTCCACAGCCAGGTTTTTGTTTCTCACCAGCTTTTGTTTTCATTCCCTGCTCTCCAAAGTGTACATTGACATTTCGAATAAAATCTTGTGGAAATGCTGCTTGCTCATCCTCGTCCTTCTTGAAGACTGGCTTGGGTTTAACGCCGATGATAATCTCAATAAGCGCATGTCTCACGGGTGCGATGCCTTCCTGTAACGCCCGGTGCTGTCGGCTGGTTCATTGGTTTTCTCTGGTTTTAGTTTGTTGGGGGTCTCGCTTCCGGATGTTAAGGCCTGGTTCGT